CGATCCGGGTGTCGTTCTATTAGAGGTTTTACGGTAGTCTCATTTCGCTAGCTTGAACCTATAGCCTTAAACATTCTGAGACAGTTTCAGATAGTTTCAGATAGTCTAAGGCTGCTTACCTAAGGCTACCTGAGACACCCTAAGACATCCTGAGACAGTTTCAGATAGTCTAAGGTTAGACTAGACTGTCTCCAAGTGTGTTAAGGCGGTCGGAGACAAATGAACGTCCACGACTCTCAAATTTGAGTCAGTTTATCTCGTTTCCTGTAAAAGATATCGAAATGTTGTCAACTAATAAAATATTGCTGATAGTATGATAAACAATTTATCAGTTGACTGCTTTTTGATATCTTTCACAGGAACCGAGATAGCTTAGCATAAAGTTGACGTATTTTTATCACTGGATCTATCTGGGTAGCTTGTCAACTTTAAGCTCAATATCTCATTTCCTGTGAAAGATATCAAAACGTTGCCAACTAGTCAAATGTTTATCATAATATCAGCAGCATTTTATCAGTACACAACTTCTTGATATCTTTCACATGAAATGAGATATATCGGCTTAAATATGACGGTTCGGAGGAACTTTGTATTAGAATTAAGACTTCTAAGCACCACTTGAAGCTGTCTCAGGCTGTTCAAGTTTGAACAAAAAACTGCCTAGATCTATCATAGCTTACTGTATCATTTTAACTTTTTGAAACTATTTTAGACTGTCTGAAGCTGTTTCGGACTACGGTAGAGTCTTACTACAGTGACTACCTCAGACTGCTTCAAGTTGTCTCTCACATAGTATCAGTATACTGTACGAACCTTTAATATGACACCGCTTTCCATTGAATCCTGTCGGACACTCGCACTTGTAGTCGTTGATCAAATCCACACATGTGGCGTTGAGGGCACATGGAGCATCGGCGCAGTCGTCTGAAAATTATAGATTTTTTTTAAATAATCTAGAAAAATCAGGTGATTCTTGAGCCAAGTTGCTCCTCTTTAAGCTTCAAGATCTCGTGTTTATTATACGCGCACTTTGAGCTCAATTATCTCGGTTTCAGTGAAATATATCAAAAAGTGGTCGACAGATAAAATGTTTATCATCTCATCAGTAATATTTTATCAGTTGACAGGTTTTTGATATCTCTCATAGGAAGCAAGATAATTGAGCTCAAAGTGCACGTATAGGACAAACTGACACACAGAAAGACTAGAATGCACTCTTATCTATTGTTCTCCGTTTTAATGACACTATCTTAAAGTTTATGACTCAAAATAAATGGTCAATAACAAGTTGTGAAATAGAACATGAGTGTAGAGGGGTCACCTTGGAGAGTGTTGGCTTCCCCGTGACGGCTCCAGAGAAGTTTTTTGTAGATTTTTCTAGAAGTTTCACTTTTTTAACCCTCAAAGACCTTGAGAGACACCTGGGACACTTAGAGATTGATGACGATGACGAAAATGAGGGAAAATTAGAGAGAGTGAGAGAAGCAGACCACAAAAGAAACAGGTGGTCAGAGGAGAGTGATCCGAACAGAATAGCTTTGGAGGACAACTTTTTATTTGTTTTTTGATTTTTTGAGATTTTCCACTTTTTTCGATTTTTCTAAATTTCTGAATTTCTGAATTTCTGAATTTCTGAATTTCTGAATTTCTGAATTTCTGAATTTCTGAATTTCTGAATTTCTGAATTTCTGAATTTCTGAATTTCTGAATTTCTGAATTTCTGAATTTCTGAATTTCTGAATTTCTGAATTTCTGAATTTCTGAATTTCTGAATTTCTGAATTTCTGAATTTCTGAATTTCTGAATTTCTGAATTTCTGAATTTCTGAATTTCTGAATTTCTGAATTTCTGAATTTCTGAATTTCTGAATTTCTGAATTTCTGAATTTCTGAATTTCTGAATTTCTGAATTTCCGAATTTCTGAATTTCTGAATTTCTGAATTTCTGAATTTCTGAATTTCAGCCATTTTTATCTACTTTAGGTCATTTTCAGGGCTCTGCGGACATCCGGACACACCGACAGACCCAATAACTTCTATTTTTGTGCCAAAAAAGGACCCTTTTAGTGTCCCAAACACAATTTTTTTTTCTCTCCTTTTTTCTCTTTTTTTCTGGCAAGGACAAATAACTAAACACATTTTTCTTCTCCTTTTTTTTCTTCAGAGAGCCAAAAGAGCTCCAAAAGAGCCGGGTTGCTCAGCTTAGCAAGAGAGCAACACGTGGGCGGAGCCAACAGAGAGAGTGCTCAAAATGAGGAGACGTAGAGAAGACGAAGGGGAAGAGGCGAGAAGACGTCGTCGCGAAGAGCCGTCTTCAGTGCTATCGATTCTCGGCTCGTGCTCACGAAAAATGATCCTATGCTGTTGTTGGCCGTTGGGCAAGTGTGCGAAGGTGGGTTACTGTGGAAAAGCTTAAAGGGACGTAGGGGAAAAATTACTGTTAAAAAAAATCCGGAAAAAATGAGCCTAAATACGCTACAGTTGAGCAGAAATAAGCAAAAAACAAAAATTCAAAAAAATGCAAGGCCCAAAAACGTTCAAAATTGGCCAGAAAGACAATTTCTCGTGTTTTCTTTTGTTTCCAGCTCATTTTTAGCTTTAAAATGAGCCCAAGCTCGACTAGGCTCCGACCACTTTGAAATTTCACCTAGACACGCGACGCACGACCGCGACGCGCTCGAAAAATCAAAATGGGCGGATCCTAGTCGTGTTTGGGCTCATTTTGAAGCTCATGACAAACGGAGGAAGATAATAGTTTTTGAACATGGAAATTTTAAGCGAAAAATTGCCAAAAACGAGGAGAATCGATTTTTTCGAATTTTGAGAAAAAAAAACCGAACTGATAAATAAGCAAAATTTGGGCGGAAGAAAGGGAAAATTTACCCAGAATTTTGAACGTATAATTGAGCAAAAAAATTATAGGCAAAAATAGGCAAAAATAGAGGTTATCTCCAATTTTGCTTTTATTAGCCATACACTGGCCAAAAATTGTCCAAAAATCGGTCAAAACTGAGCAAATTTTAACTTTCTGAAAAGAATAGAAAATTCCCTACAAAATACATCAAAAACCAAGTTTCTACGATCATTTTGAGCCAAGATACAGCGATTTGGAGTTCTGTGGGAGACGCAGAGAAACGAAAGACACTGCGTCTCTAACCCAAAACTTTAAAGGCGCATAACTTGCTTCAAACTAGAGCTACATAGATGAGGACTAGATAGTTTTGTAGGAAATTTCAAAGGCTGTCTAATGATACATAACAATTTTGGAAAAAGAAACTAAAAAATCCGAAAATTCAATTTTTGCCCCTCCCTTGCCCATCCTCACTATTTTTTCTTTTTTTTTTAAATTGTCCCATTCTCGTCGAATTTTTTTGTCCTAGACCCATTTTTTGTTCTAAAATCAAAAAAATTGGATTTAAAGTATCCAAAAAAGGTCCTTTTCATCCTAGAAAGCCCTATTTGCCCATCCCTTGCCCATTCCTTGCCCATCCTTCAAATTCCCTCAATTTCGTCCATTTTTGGTCAAATTTTTTGAGGAAAAAAGCAAATAAATCATTTGACATCGTTTTAAGAGTCAATTGAACAGATTTTCAAGTGTTTGCTCAGTTTTTTTCTGGGGAAAAAAAATTTCCAAAAAAAATATTTTTTTGTTGAAAAAATTGAAATTTCAAAAAAAAATGTTGTCCTTCCAAAATTTCATATTTCTGGCTCCAATTCAGGTGCTGGCTGCTTTCGACTTTCTCATCGTCGGCTTTTTCTTCATCAAATCATGCGAAATGCTCATGGAAACCGCTAATGACTTGTAAGTTTGGCGGAAATTTGAATTTCCCGGCTCAAATTTTGGCGGGAATTTGAATTTTCTATGTTCAGACACTGGACCACAATCGTTTCCTTCTTTTTCTTCTTGGGATTTATAATCTGCCAGGCCCTCGGACTATTCTTCATTGTGCTAGCCGCCAAGAAGAAATGCGCCCGCTACTGTCTCCCCAGGTAGGCGCCACCCTCCCTCTTGTCATTGCACTCCACTCCCTTCCCCTCAATGCGGCCACGTGGCGCAGGCCGGAGAGGTGCCGTGCTGAAGCAGCCGCCCTTTGGTTCGACACCACTTTGCTCCATTTTGTTTTTTCTCCTTTTTATAACCCTTTAAACTGTTCCAGACTGGTTCTAATCGCCGGCCTCACCGTCTGCTCACTCATCGTGCTCATTTTCATGCTCACCTACTTCGCTGGCTCTGCCCAATCCGTTAATAACTTCTTGTTTAAAGTATATGAGTACTTTTTTGGGACCGTCCTGACTGACGCGGAGCGGGTGGAGCTTAAACACGAGTTACGGTACTATGGAGCCGCATTTTTCGTCCTTTCCGCCTTGTTTTTCATTTACAAGTGAGTTTGAATTTTTTTTCTGACAAAAATTTTTTTGTCTGAAAATTTCAGAAAATTCTGGAAAAACAAGATTTTTGGTGTCGTGAGAAATGTGGATATCCTCTTGATGAATAGAATAGAAATTGGATTAGTTGGAATTTATGTTTTTTCGAGATTCACTTTTTTTTGGATTTTTGGATTTTTGATCTTTCTAGAATTTTGCGGAAAACTCTGAAAATCTGCAAATTCTAGAAATTTCAAATTTCTGAAAATTTCGAAATTTTCAAATTTTCAAAAAAATCCGAACATTAAGACTTTTTCGAAAAATCAAAAAATTCTAAAATTCTAAAATTCTAAAATTCTAAAACCTAAAATTCAAAAATTCAAAAATTCAAAAATTCAAAAATTCAAAAATTCAAAAATTCAAAAATTCTAAAATTCAAAAATTCAAAAATTCAATAATTCAATAATTCAAAAGTTCAAAAATCCAAAAATTCTAAAATTCTAAAATTCTAAAATTCTAAAATTCTAAAATTCAATAATTCAATAATTCTAAAATTCTAAAATTCTAAAATTCTAAAATTCTAAATTTCTAAAATTCTAAAATTCTAAAATTCTAAAATCTCAAAAATCCAAAAATCCAAAAAAAATGTATTTTCGGAAGTTTCAAAAATCCCAAAAATCAAATTTTTCAGCGTCTTTGCTCTCTGGCTAACCATCAAATTCAAGCAAACACTCAACGAGTTCGAACCAGTGCCAACTGAGCCAACTGCTCCACAATTGGCTCATAATCCCGCCTACGCCGAGCCACCACTCAAATCCTATCCCAATATGGCCTGATTTGAATTTTTGGCACTAAATTCGAATTTAAATTCAAATTTTTCAAAAAATTCCCAATGCTTTAATTATGTCCCTTTTCTGTGCCATTTCTGTCCCGCTGTCCCCTTTCTGTCCCAAATTTTTTTGTGATTTCATTTTTTCTTTTTTTTTCTTCTCCAATTTTCCCCGATCTCTAGAGAATCCTTCTTCTTCTTTCTCTTCTTTTTTTCGTATGAAAAATGTCTTTTCTGGTTTTTTGGGGCACATTTTCAGGATGAGCAATGGGAGAGGGGGACAAAAAGAGCCCCGAGAGCCGAGAGCATCCGAGCCACAAATTGAGTTAGTTATCCCATTCTTTTTTGGGTAACTAGCTCCGCCCAAATTTTTTGCCTTCCCCTAAGGACAAATAGGGGATTAGTACAAGGAAATGGGGAAACAATTTTTTTGCAAAAATATTTTTTCAAATTTTTTGAAGAATTGTATATCACCAGAAAGCCCTTGAAATTTCCTACAAAAACTACATTGTTATCATATTTCTAGCTTGAAAACCAAATGAGTTATGCGCCTTTAAACTTTAGCCGCCGAGAGACGCAGAGAAGCTAGAACACTCTCGCTTCTCTGCGTTTCTCTGCAGTCAACTTCAAAGGCACATAACTCACTTCGATATCAGGGTAAAGCGATGAAAGTGACATAGTTCTCTAGGAAATTTATAGAGCTTTCTAGTGATATAAAATTCTTAAAAAATTTGGAACTTTCAAAACTTTTTTCAATTTTTCATAGAACATTTTATGTCAGCCGAAAGCCCTCAAAATTCCCTACAAAGCTATAAAATTCTCATTTTTCTAGCTTGAAAACCAAGCCAGTTATGCGCCTTTAAACTTTAGCGACGCAGAGAAGCTAGAGCGTTCTCGCTTCTATGCGTCTCCCCCTCGCCCAAGACGGCGCGCCAACTTTAAAGGCGCCTATCTCAAAAACTAGGCTAGCTATCAAAAAACTGGTAACTGCAAAAATGTGCAGTGGAAAATTTTACACATTCTCCAATTTTTACATTTTTTTTAGCTATCCTAGTTTTTGGATACACTCCTTTAAACTTTGGATTTATCTTCAGTTACTTTTGCCGAACATCAGAGGCGCATATTTCAAAAACTACAGTACGCCCCAATAAAAAAAAGGAATAGACGCAGACACTCACCAATATTGTTATCACACGTTGGTCCTTCCCATCCGGGCACACATTGACACTTGAACCGTCCCAACTTCTCGCCAATACATCTTGCACCATTTCGACACGGATTATTCGTGGAGCAAATGTCGGTGATTTCCTCGCAGTTTGGTCCGGCGAATCCGGTTCTGAAATTAAAAAAAAACATCAAAATAATTAGAAAAAGAGAATTTAGGAATTATTTTAAGCCTAAAATCATGAAAATGGGTCAACTGGGAGCTGAGATATAGGCCGTTGGAGTTAAGTTATTGCTAGTAGAGTGCCAAATGACTCATATCTTGTGCCCCAGGCAAGCTAGAAGCTTGAAACTTTGTCAAATTATTTATTTAATCATTTTTAACTATTTCACAAAATTTCATAACCGTAGCTTCACTAGAAATCGAGATACAGACTTTCTGGCGTTAAGCTTCAAAAAAATCTGGTAGGCTTAACTCACCAAGCTTTAACTTGACTGAAATTTTATATAGAGACTTCAAATTTGACACACATTTAGCCTAAATGTGAATTTTCAACGTCTGGAAGTTTTGTAACTCTAGCTATACCGAAAAGTGGGTAATGCGCCTTTAAACCTTCTAGAGAGACGCAGACAACGAGAGGCCTCTCGCTTCTCTGCGTCTCTTAAGACGCATATCTCGAGAACCCTTAAAGCTATTGGAAAAATTTAAATTGCAAATTGTGTAAAAATTTACGCTGAGCAATTTTCTGGTTGACAAATATTTGATAGCTAGCTTAGTTTTTTGAGAAATGCGTTTTCAAACTTTGCCTAGTCGCTCAAGTCGCATCAGGCGTGCGCGCTAACTTTGAAGGCGCATATCTCAAAAACCCTTAAAGCTATGAAGAAATGTTTACCTACAAAAATGTGTAAAATTTTATGCTGAGCAATTTCGTAGTTGACAAATTTTTGATAGCTAGCTCAGTTTTAGAGATCTGCGCCTTTAAACTTGCTCTATCCTTCCACATCGCTCCTTTGCTCAATATCTCAGCTCCCAGTCTACCGAATATCTGGGTTTTTGATTTTTCAAACTTCAAGATTCTAGAAAAACTAGATCTTCAAAATTCTTAGTCCACTTACCTGCACAAACACGTCGTCGACTTCAATCCCGGCAAATCATGACAAACTCCACCGTTGGGGCACGTCTTCCCAACACACTCATCACTTTCAAATTGACATCTCGCTCCACTGAACATCTTAGGGCAGGTGCATTTGTAGGTGGTCCCAACCTGCTCGCATTTTCCACCATTGTAGCAAGGCTGAGTGGCGCAGACGTCCTCAACGATCTCACAGCGATCGCCAACATATCCTGGCTTACAGTGACACTGAGCACGATGCATGAACACTGAGCAATCCGCATTATTTTCACACATCTTGGCTGAGCAATCGATTGGGAAGCAAGCGGACTCTAGGGATTCTCCTGATCCTTGAGTGGCGGTGGCGTTGGAGCATTCCAGGCAAGATTGCTGTCCTAATGCAGGCTGATAGAAGTTGATTGGGCATGGGGAGCAAGGTTCGAGGCCAGTGTTACTGTAGCTTCCGGTTTTACAAGCTAGCCGGCATTCGGTAGCACTTGAGGCTCCTAGTTTGGCAGTATAGGCACCGGATGGGCAGGCTTCGCAGTCTCTGAACCCTCCAACTGGTGCTGGTCCGGAGAACGTGTGTCGGGGACACAATTGGCATGGGATGAGACCGGTGGTACTGTACATACCGTAACCGCATGTTGAGAGACACGATGCTACGGATTGAGATCCTTCGTCAAGGGTGTAGGTTCCATCTGGGCATGGTTTGCACGAGGTTTGACCCGAATCGTCTTGGTAGGATCCACGAGGGCAGAGGATGCAGGTGTTGTTGATGTTGACAGAGCCGGATGGGCAGGCCACTAAAAAGAATGGCATATGATTAGAAAGCCCTTGAAATTTCCTACAAAACTAGCTAAATTTCATTTTTTTTTAGGTTACGGTAGAAGCAAGTTATGGGCCTTTAAAATTGGACGAAAGACGCAGAGAAGCCAGAGGACTCTCGCTGTCTATGCCTCTTTTAGCGTGCGCAAACTTTAAAGGCGCATAACTCAACAACTAAGCTAGCTATCAAAAAGCTAAAAATTACAAAAATGTGTAAAATTTTATGCTGGGCAATTTTGTAATTGGCAGTTTTTTGACAGCTAGCGTAGTTTTTGAGTTATGCGCCTTTAAAATTGGGTTGCTGTCGACGAGAAAAAACGAGGCGCAGGCAACGAGAACACTCTCGCTTCTCTGCGTCTCTCACTCTGCTTGATATACATTCTAAAGCATTGAATTGCTCCTAGACGTTCAGAGTTGTCAAAAAATTCAGAAAATTCTTGAAATTTGGCCGTTTATTCAGAATTTCAAAAAAATCGAGAAATCCGAAAATTTTTTTTCTCAAAATTTATAAAAAAATACATGAAAGCCTTTGAAATTTCCTACAAAACACGCTAAGTATCATTTTACTAGCTTGAACTTGAAGCAAGGTATGCGCCTTTAAAGTTGACCGCGGAGACGCAGAGAAGCTAGAGGACTTTCACCGTCTGCGTGTCTTCCTCCTCGCAGCGATGCCCGCAGCGCCTTCTAACTTTAAAGGCGCATATCTTCAAAACTACTGTAGCTGTCATAAAACTACAAACTACAAAAATGTGTAAAATTTTATGCTAAGCAATTTTCTAGTAAACAATTTTTTGATAGCTAGCTTAGTTTTTGAGATAAGCGCCTTCAAACATTTTCACCTTTTTTGGAGGATCGTAACTAACTTTCATAACTCAAAAACTAATAGTAAGCTAGCTATCAAAAAACGCTCAACTACAAAATTGCTCAGCATAACATTTCCCACAAAATACTTACTACATTCCGGAAGTCGATCCTTGGCTTCTTGTCTCAGCACCTCTCCAGTGCCACAAGCAAATCCTTGCACTATACTAGATCCTTTTGCAGTGATACTAGGACATCCAGCCGTCTGGGAGGCTATGGATTCTCCAGAAAGACTCAAAAGCGACTGGATCGGTTGGTTGGCTCCCGGAATGTTCAAATCAAAGATCGTCCGAAGGGTCAGCCCGCAAAGATCATAGAAGACGCTCTGTTGTTCGGTAGGAAGCACTTGGATCGTGTAGTTTCCGATGAGCTGGAAAAAGGTCTACAGTAATCCATAATCTGCGTACTGTAGCCTCACCTGTCCATTCAAATTACTAAAATCTAGCTTGAGCAGCCTCACAAAGACCTCAACTGACGATGAGCAACGAGCACTGAGCACCTTGTCCAAGTTGTCAAATTCTTTTGCTGCTAGCTCCGCGTAGCCCTGGAAAATGCAGGATATTAGGGGATTACTGTAGTTCTAAGGGGTTACTGTACCTTCAAACAATGATCCGGGACTGGTGACAAAACTGGATAGGTCATACCAACGTTGACATGGAAGCCAGCTGGGTCTTTTGCTGAAAATAGATAGTAGGTTAATTTAAAGGCGCATATCTCCAACACTAAGCTAGCTAGAAAAAAGTTGCTAACTACAAAATTGCTCAGCATAAAATTTTACATATTTTTATGGTTTACAACTTTTTGATAGCTTTTCTAGTTTTTGAGATATGCGCGCCTTTAAAGTTGATGCGTCTACTTGGAGGGGAGGGAAGGACGCAGAGAAGAGAGAGTTCTCTAGCTTCTCTGCGTCTTTCAAAATTTGTCGAATTTCAAATTTTCTTGAACTACGTAACTTTAAGAAACGCTAAAATAGTAAAAAAAAACTAGCTTTTCAACATTTCTGGGTGAAAAATAGAAAAGTTTCAAAATTTTCAAAAAATTCAAAAAAAATGTTTTTCAAGAAAGTTATATATCACTAGAAAGCCCTTAAAATTTCTCACAAAACTGTCTAATTTTCATTTCTCTAGCTCGAAATTGAACCGAGTTATGCGCCTTTAAACTTGACCGCCGAGAGACGCAGAGAAGCTAGACGACTCTCGCTTCTCTGCGTCTCCCGCCGCGCGGCGCGCGCCAAAGTTTAAAAGCGCATAACTCGCTTCAATGTTGAGCTAGAAACATGAAACTTTTTTAGTTTTATAGGAAATTTTGAGGGCTTTCTGGTATATAACATTTTGCATAGACATTCCCACAATTCACTATAAAAATTGTATTTAAAACTCACGAATCGGTACACACGCCGGCGCGTTGTTCCTCGGCGACCACCGTCCGTCTTTGCACACAAAGTTCTGCGTAATCTGGTCCGGATCAATGAATCGATATCCCTGAGCACAGTACACACTACAAACTACAGCACCATCTTCGTGGACACAGTTTTTGACAATGTGATTCGATGAGGCCAAGGAGGCGGGTGAGCAAGCTTCGGCTGAAAATATAGGATAGCTTGGCTGGAAATTTTTCTAGCAATTTGAAATTTTTGGATGCATAGAAATAAGGGGTTCCTCTATGAGTGGAAAAAATTTCAGCCAATTTGGTCCATTGTGGGCGGAGCTACAGTAATTTGAAGATTTGGCGCCAGCTACAGAGAGGAGCGTCAACTTCAAGTGCTCGTAACTCGGCTCAAAATAACGCTAGAGCGCTGAACTTTTTTCATCCAATTTCCCGGTTTTTAGGTTTTATTTAAAACTGAAAGACCCAAAGTTTAAAGCTGAAACTCACGAGCATAGGCGACTTGGAACTTGCAGCTATTCCTATTGCCATTCTCATCTTCGGCTTGCGCGGTGACTTCCACAAACTCCCCGATTTTCAGAGTCGCTTCAGTTGGGCTGAAAGTGACCTCTGACACGTTGGAGGTGTCGTGAAGGACCAAATCTACAGTAGTCATGTCGAAAATGACATGTTTTGTCGAGTTGCCAACTGGGATTGTGTAGGAGTCGGGACACTTCATAACTGGCGGTTGGGTGTCTGAAAATTTCAGATTATTGGGGACTTTGGGGCTTTTTTGGGCTTTTTAAAGCCAAAAATTTGCTTTTTCAGCCAAAATCTACCTGGAATTCGAATTTTCAGCGTGCAAACAGCTGTATTTCCAGCCGAATCGTATGCGGTATAGGTGATGTCCATATCGGAGGTGATCATCAGGCCAGAACGCATTCCAAGCGGCTCGATTTGGGTGTAAGCAATCTGAAAATGTAGACAAGTTTATGCTGAGCAATTTCTCCATTTGCAACGTTTTGGTAGCTAGCTTAGTTTTTGAGTTATGCGCTTTTTAACTTTTTGCGCCTTTAAACTCGCGGGCTAATTTCAAAAGCGCATCTCTCTAAAACTACTGTAGCTATGAAATAGTTACAAACTACCAAATTGTATAAAATTTTACGCTGAGCAATTTTGTAGTTGACAACTTTTTGATAGCTAGCTTAGTTTTCGAGATATGCGCCTTTAAACATTCCGCATAACTCGCTTCAACTTTAAGTAGGTCATGACCTAGAAAAAATTGGGTCATGACCTAGAAAAAAGTCGGTCATGACCTAGAAAAAAAGTAGGTCATGACTTAGAAAAAAAGTAGGTCATGACCTAGAAAACAATTTGGTCATGACCTAGAAAAAACTAAGTCATGGCCTAGAAAAAAATCAGGCCGTGACCTAGAAAAAAGTAGGTCATGACTTCAAAAACTAAAATAGCAATCAAAAAAATAGTATTTTTAAATAAAAAGGCGGGGTCTAAGTTGGAGCGCCAACTTTAAAGGCGCATATCTCTAAAACTACTGCAGCTATGAAATAGTTACAAACTACAAAATTGTGTGAAATGCTATGTTGAGCAATTTTGTAGTTGACAACTTTTTGATAGCTAGCCTAGTTTTTGAGATATGCGCCTTTAAATTTAGTTCGCACGAGACGCAGAGTAGCGAAAGCACTTGGTTAAGTTTAAAGGCGCATATCCGAAAAACAAGGCTAGCTATCAAAAAAGAATCAACTACAAAAATGATAAGCATGAAATTTCCTACAGTTTGACATAAAAAAATACTTACCTTCCCACTATTATCACTAGCCACGGGCTCTTCAAACTCCACCGCCTTCAGCTGTCCATTTTCATCAACCTTCGCGAAAATTTCCGATTCCGGGCAATTTTCAAACTTCGGCGGGTCCATATCAACACATTGGGGTACTGATCCATTCCATCCAATCTGTAGATGACTGTCAACCTCATGAGCCGCGAAAACCGGAGCCACACAGCCCATCAAATCAAATTTCATACATGGATTTCCCTCGTATTCTGTGACTCCGAAAAGAATATATCTGGCTCGAAGAGAGAATTTCAAATCGAAATGATGCATCGCGTTGTGGTTGCCGGCGGGAGATTCAAATTCCACTGGGTAGGGCTCGTATTTGTTCTGATTTTGGGTCTTGTAGAAGAGCTGGAACTTGGTGACGTGTCCTTTTAAATGGCCGGAGCCGGCTACGCCGGCGATGCGGAGAGTGGTCAGGGTGTAGACTCTGAAAAAGAAAACATTTAGAAAGTTGTTTTTATACCACCAAAAAGCCCTTAAAATTTCCATTAAAACTATATATTTTTCATTTGTCTAGTTTAAAATTGAAGCGAGTTATGCGCCTTTAAATATTTAAAAAATTTCAAAAAATTGTAATTATTTAAAAAGCTAATTTTCAGAAATTCAAAATTTAGATATTTCTGAAAATCATATATCACAAGAAAGCCCTTAAAATTCTCTACAAGCCTATCTAATTTTCATATTTCTATCTCAATATTAAAGCGAGTTATGCGCCTTTAAAGTTAGCGCGTCCGAAGTGACGCAGAGAAGCTAGAACACTCTCGCTTCTCT